GAAGATTTAAGAAAAACAGATGTCCCCTGCCCTCAGGGGACTGCGACCACTGATTCTGCGACCACGTAACTGAAGGACTCATCTATCTACCTGGTGGGGTGGAAGTGACAGTGTCACAAGTGGAAGAGTTGTTTTTAGACCTCAAAGGCTAAGACGGAATTCACCAGGCAGAGAGGAGGCAGCAGGAATGGCTGATGAGAGTCGTGACCGTATCCTGAGACAGTCCGTGTGCAGAATGCTAACGTGCCGGGCGTGTGTGTGTGTATGTGTGTGTGTGTGTGTGTGTGTGTGTGTGTGTGTGCGCGCGCGCGTGCGCGCGTGCACGCAGGCATGCGTCTTGTCACTACAAGAAAGCCGTGGCCCATGCTGCGACCACAGCGATGCAGGACGCGGAAAGAGGGGCACCCGGAGAGGCGGTTCCACCCCATCTGCCCACGAGGCTTGCACCCTCCCCTGTTTCACCACAGCGATTCTGGGCAAACCCAAATCAAAGCACTCAAAGGGCTCCCAAGGATGGAGAGAACCAAAACTGGGCCCCACACAGCTTCAGAAAAGTGGGCAGGAAAATGGACAAAAAAGACAAACTCCGGAATAGGTCTGTATAAACACTGCGGTTGAAATGCGGCCAGACACGGCAAGCAACTGGGATCTAAGCAAAGGCACAGGAGCGGGTTGCAGGCACAGAGCGGGGCCCAGGCGTGCCCAGGCCTGACCCACACCCAGAGCTGTCGGGGGGCCCTGCGCTGTGCTGGAATCCACTTCTGATTCAGTCCCAGCCAGATTACGAGCCAGACTCATGCAGGACTGCCCTATCACCTCACTCTCCAACAACCTCATGAGGTAGCTCTCTATCACCTCCATCTAGAGTCGGGGAAACAGGCTCAGAGGGCCAAGCCTGGATACTAGAACTTCTAGAAAAGCCTGTCCTTTATGATAGGAGAAAATTGTGTCCTGCTCCCTTTCGTCTTTTTTTGTGACATTCTTGCATGAGACATGATGCCTGGAGCCACTGCTGCCATTCTGTGACCTTGAGGAATGTCGCAGCAGACAGGCAGGGGCTGGTGCAGAGTGAAATCTCCCAGGGGAGATCAGAGAGGAGGCTCCTCAGGCAGATCAGATGCCCCATACAGGAGAAGCTAGCAAAACTGGGACCAGTGACGGACATGCATGCGGAACCCCCGGTGACTCAGGAAGCAGGTGGCAGAACCACAACTTCCCTGCCCAGGCAGCAGCCCCAAGGCCTCAGGAAAGGGGCTGGGGCCCAATTCTAGCTCAGTTACAAGTCGGCAGTGAGAAAGAAGAGTCCTGACCCCTCCTTGCTTCGCAAATAACAATAGCAAGAGAGATGACAATGAAGATCAGAGATACGGAGTCGGTTCCTGCTAGCACGCTCACGGCACACATGCGTCCTCTGCTCTCCACCCTCGGAGGAGAAAGGCCTGCCCAAAAGACCTGCAAACAGCTATGCCAAAGCCCCCCAAACATTGTTCAGATTGTTACTGAGGTCATTGGGCATAGGGCAACCGTGAAAACCAGTCATCATCTGAAAAGGCTGGGGTCCAGGTGAACAATTCAAGATCCTGGTCTCTTTCTCCTCTTTTTTTTTTTTTTTAAGTTTTTTTTTTTTTTT